TGAATGACACCGATGGTGGTTTATCATTCGAATTCAAATTTTATTTGTGTGCTTGTCCCAAAACATAAAACAAATATGATCGAACTCCTCCATCGACAGTACAATTAACTCTGGGGCGTGGTGATGCAGAGGTAACGAATCGATTTCAAAAGTTTGAGGTGCCAGGTTAGAATTTCTTGTCAGAGGGCAGTTTATCGTAACTGCCGATTTTCTTAATTAAGGAATTTACTCCATACTGCTCTGAGAGGTTGGTTATAGGTCGATCGTTGGTTTACGAACAATTAGCACAGAAATGTGTTCTGCAGTGATTATGCCAGAATGAGCGAGAGATACAGACAGCTGTTCAACATCATGAGATCTCCTTGACCTTAGGCTGCAAATCGCTTTGACCCGGCTTATAGTTAACTATCCAGTGTGATAATTGGCGCTAGATTTAAAAACCTAAAAACACGTGCAAAAATTAAAACAAAACTGATTTAATATAAATAATAAGGAACGAAGTGTTCGATAAACTTTGTCTTGCTTCCAGACCCTTAGTCACCGTGACTTGCAGCCGAGCTGATGTCTGATCCTTGGACCGGCACGTATCTTCTTACGCGGTGCAGAACATTTTTGGCAAACATGTGATTTCATGTTCCGCGCTTCTATTCCAACGTTTGGCTCTTGCCATCAGTTTTCCAAATGAACTAACAATCAAACGAATCATTTTTAGCAGTAGAGAGGGTGCATAAAATTTTCAGAAACTAAATGGACATCATGTTCGATGACATCTGAACTTACGCGAGATGATTGCCAAAGAAACGCATGGCCAACCTGTCGCACAAATCATCCAGAAACCAAATAATTGCATCCGCCATAATAAGATCATCTTTCGGCGAAGATCGCAACCTTGACGTATCAACGAGGCTCACGTGACTCAATGATCCTCGAAGCTATTCCAGCCGAGACTTTGGATTCTCATGTGACTACCCGTGCTTCCCAGGTTCGAAGCAAGAGATCACACCGAGTGCGATCAAATATCTACACATGGGCATATCACAGTGAAAATGTCCCTGCACCGGATTGATCTTTGCACGGGTTACCAAGAGATTGCAGTCTGCTGGAGAACTGAGAGAGTCAGTGATGTGTGTGGACGAACATAATTTGTTTCACACCATACCGCGCCAGGTGACTTTGCATAATGAGGAACGGATGCACAAGCAATGGCGGAAGGAATCACATGAGATTCTATTACATCACTGGCAAGCAGGGCAGAATTACCCAAAAAAGATGCTGAAAAAATGGAGGAAAGTCTATCCGCTCTTAACAGAATATTGGCTAGATAGTATCAGAGGAGCACTTGATGATGATACAGCTGCATAAGGGTATCAACCAACTCAATGCCTCATTGAAATCAGCCGGAACAAGCCCGTGAGATCAGAAATCTAAATGCACTGTGTGATAGAAGTTATCCAGCTTAACGATAAAGAAAGTTCTCTCTGGAAGGAGATACTTAATGAGTTTGAACGACGTGAAGAATTTAGGAGCTGTACCAGTTTTATCAGAGACAAGAAGAAGCTGCGTGAATATATCAAGCAAACCTTATCCTGAAAACGACACCAATCAGAAAGTTGGACTCATAAACGGTGTGAGGATACATGTGTCACCTCTTGTGAAAAGATAGGAACTTTGCTCTAAGCTGGAAACAGATCCTGAAAAAAAAGAAGAATCACCATGATGAAGAACAATCAAGAACAAACAGAAAGAAATATTCTAAGAACTAAATCAACTTCCCCAGTTGAACAGGATTACACCAAGCGGAACACTCAAAGCTGTATGCGATGATGCCAAGCAGTTATCCGCTTGCTGTATCGGTAAAGCTTTGGGTATATCAGAATAGGTTCGAGCGGTAGAAGCAGAGCCGGACTTTGTAATGCAGAGATAGTCGATCTTAATGCAGAAAAATTTGTTTCAGTTCTTGACAAGGATATTGGATAGTGACAAGAAATATCTGAGTACAGGAACTATAAATGAATGCAAACATCATCTGAACAGAACGGTTACAATATTTATGACTGGGTGAGACAGTCAGAAAGATGATAATCTAATCAGCGTCAGGTCCGAGTCGTTTTGGCATAAACGGCTGACACGTTTGCACTCAAAAATAAGATTTTCCTTGCAGAGAGTGAGTGAAGAAGGACCACCTCGTTGGTTAATGAAAGGAATCATGGCCAAGTCTTGAAGGATGAGAATAGGGGCATGGCGATATGACTAATTACAGGTTCATTTCGTGCCCTCCGATGACTTGGAAACTTCCTTCTGTTAGCCAATGCAGTTTACGAGCATTTACGAGCAAGCTCGTCACATTTCCTGAACCAAATGGGTGCGGAACGAAATGAAGGAGCCTAAAGACCAAATACTCATGGACAAGGCGCTACAACTGGATTATAAAATGACCCTCTGCTCCATGAGCATGGATCAACTGTAGGAAGGCATTTGATGAAGTAGCATTTGGCTGGAATGCCCTGAAATATGGCAATTTCAGTGACCCAATAAAATTCTTGGAAATAGCGATGAAACAGTGAGGAGCAGAACTTATAAACAGATATACGTAAAGATTAGGCGACGAATCTTAGAAGAGGTATATTCAATCTTGCCTAACATTAAATCCACATAGTTGTATGCCGAGTACAATCAAATAAAACATAAGTTGTAGATACAAGCTTCAGATAGCGACCCTGTTAAGAATAGTCAGGATTTAAAGAAGAATACCGCATTTCCCTAATCCGTGGTGAAGGGTTGGAGCTGAAGTAGTTTTGATACCGTTCATGTCATATGTCATGGAACGCGACTGAATTAAAAGGAAATATAGTCAATATCAATAAACTTTACGTGATGGAAATTCAGAAGCCCTTTGAGCTAGACAATGGCGACACAGGTGATTGTAGTTTAGTTTTGTTGAGTCCATTCAGACATTATTTCATTCATCCATCCATTCGATCGCTCATTGACTCACTTATTGATCCATTCATTTATTCGATTAGTAATATGAGGCTATTCAATGGCTGAATGTTGCTGGATTCGCATTAAATCCTTTGATGGACCTCTACCTCGTTGGTCGAAAGCAGATAAACGATTCAAACAATTAAACTTTTCACGCAGCTTATCCAGGTTTGTGAGCGCACCCAGAAGCCCGTCTACTTTTTCTTAAATTTGTTTGGCATGTTGGTTGTTACGGAGTTCATGCTGTATCAAAAAAGTCATAAACTCAAAACACGTAGCCATTAACTTCAACGGGTTGTTTCAGTCGATTAGATGACTGATGAAAAATAACTTTGCTATCGTCTGCACGGGTAGTCTGTAGCTTTTCAGTTTATTTTCATATAACATCCTTTAAGTATGGCCTGTAGCCTCTTATCATTTCACCAGTGTGTAAAACATAAAACTTACTTCGAAAACTTATATCATAAACGGTCTCAGATGTCAAACTCAGTTATACTTCCATACTTGGGCGCTATGTGCTTTATTGATGAAGCATCGCGTTGGCTAATTTTTGCTGCTGTATCATTTCCTAGGAATTTCTTGTTTCTTCGTTCTTTCCATGTCAAAAGCTAGCAAATGACTACTGTACTACTAACGTTGTACAATGCACAAGTGCAAGTACTCACTAATGTACTACTAATGTAGTTTCCTCTTTCCTTCGAACAAAACGGCACTCATTAAACTACCTTTGAAGGATGAAAGGTATGTGATCTGACAGGTTCTCTTTGAGAGGTAGCCAAGTTTCTCGTAAGAACTGTTGAATAGTACTATGGCAGGAACCGTCTTCAGCTCACAGAACTTTTCCAAGAAGGTACGGGAACTGTTGGAAATTATCACTGGAAAATGCAAGATCTTGGGGAGGGGGAGGTATTTTTATACCCAGCTTTTCGTCAGATTTACCTGCCACGTCTGAGCTTTTATATACTTCCTCGGTCTGTCGTAGAAGCATGAACGAAGCATTAAGAAAATTAGGAGATATCGTCTGCTGTAATTACATATGCATCGCCACTCAGGTCGCTGATTTTTTAGGTAAGTCTCTAGTCCTCATCCTTTCTCATCCGACCTTGAGGCCGGAAAAGGAAGTTCAGATCAAAGCAGC